ATAAAAGCAAATAGAGCAAATATGTGGGCTTAAGGAATGGGTTCTTGAGTCATCGTTTTCAATGCCACATTTGATACCAAGACAGATACTGTCTAGTTTTTGTGCTTTGTTTGTTTGCTTCTAAGTAACAACAGTGACGACAGCAGCAGCAACAGTAGCAATGTTAATAAGGCCACGGTTTAGATTCTGTGAGGCGTGGTGCGCGTTTCTCGGGAAAAGGATCAGGCAGACGGCGCTGCCGTCTTGACGCGGTGAAGCCAGGTGCGCAGGGGGAGGGGCGGAGGGCATCGTTCACTTTCCATCAGCGAAGTGACTGTCGCAGTCAAAGCTTGTGCGGGGGGTGCGTCAGCCGGGCGCGGCTGAGTCCCTCGGGAACCCGTCTCTGTCCCCCGCACAGGACGTGGACGCTCTGCGGAACGCCTGAGTACCTGGCCCCGGAAGTTATCCAGAGCAAGGGCCACGGAAGAGCCGTGGACTGGTGGGCCCTCGGCATCCTCATATTCGAGATGCTCTCGGGGTGAGTAGAGCTCGGGCCACACCCCCTCCATCCACCCGTCCCCAGGGCGCCACTGGGGGTGTGGGGGTCACCAATACTCATTGTCACATCTCCCTCCCGGGGGCTTGGTGACGTGAATCGGCAAGTAACCTTGTTTGCATAAGAGTCAAAAAGCACAAACTTGTGAAAGACCTGGTGAGATTTTTGCATCAAAATATCACGTCCCTGCCTTCCTTGAAGAGAATGATAAAGTGCAGTTTAGAAGCTTGTGGATGCACGGGGTGCAAGGAAGGAGGGGCTCTGTTCTTTCCTGAAAGCACATACGTGCAGTCGGGTGGCATTTGGGAGTCAGGGCAGGTCTCCCAGATAAGGGAGAGGTCACCTGGCTGCTTGGGAGGATGTCGTCCGTGGCTCGGTGTTCGGGTCTTGCGTCCACCTCCGACAGCGGTGACGGGACTCGGGCTCTGCCAGGAACGCACAGCGAGAGTCCCACGCGCAGAAAGTGTCTGGGACGTGGGGTTTGCCTTCCTGCCACTGTCGTCTTCGACGTGCGTTAGCAGTGGGGATTCACTGAGGCGCCTCCGTAGCGTGGCACTTTACCACCTGCGGGAAGGAGGCAGCCACGTGTACCCAGGACGTAGCACACTGCGCGCGTCTCTGAACGAAGGCTCTTCTCTCTGCGGTGTGGCCCAGACGCCCCAGGGCCTTGGCGGGCGCTCTGCCCCCGGCCTGCTCTGTGGCTTCCTTTCTCCTGCTCTTTTCCGCTTGCTGGTGCGTCTCAAACACAGAACCAGCGTGTCCCCTGAGACCACTCCAGTTGTAGCAAAAGCCGGACCCCCTTCCACATCTCTGATTTGCCCATGGGGACAAAGCTGGACTCCCCCTTCCACGACTCTGACTGCCCGTGGGGGGCAAAGGTCAGAGGATTTTTCCGGGAAACCTTCCCTGTCCGTGGGAGGCAAAGTTGGCGGACGGGTGTTCTCCTGCTAGCAAGGCACGTCCCGCGCACCCTGCTCGCGGGCAGGGCTGAGGAGCGTACGGGGTGGCACCCTGACGTCCCCCTTCGTAAATCCAGGGAGTCGCTGGCTTCACCTGGGGAGGGGCAGTGGCCATTGCCCCTTGTGCTTATAGCGGCTCCTTTCCTAAAGAAAGGGAGTCCTTTCATTCCCAGACCGGCTTAGGGGTCGGAGCAGCGGGGAGCAGGTCCGGCGATTCACCGGGGCACTGGGAGATGCGATGAGATGGGAGGAGGGAGGGAGCCGTGGCAACCTGCGTGTGTCTGTGTGTCTGGTTAACTGCGTCTGTCCATCTCTGCACCTGTCTTATCTATGTCTGTCTACCTGTCCATCCATCCATCCATCTGCCTGTCGTCTGTCTACTTACCTGTGTCACCAGTACATAGCTGTCTGTATCTGCCCATCTGCCTGTCTGTATATCTATCATCTATTTCTATATCGTCCGTCTGTCCTAACGTATGTATCCATCCATCCATCCATCCATCTACTTGTCTGTCTCTACGTGTCCATCTGTCTACCTGTTGCTCTTTTGAATGTTCCGTTACTCTTGACTCAGACACGTCCAGAGAATCACATGGAACCAAACATCTCATGACACACCTGAGCCCGTGAAGTTCCAGGCAACACAAAAGCTTAAAAGTCGCGTACAGTTGCACCCGTCCTGTCTTGGATTTCAGATCTGCCCTTCGTTTACTGAAATACAGTCAGCCACTTTATGCAATTTGGTTTTGAGCTGTGGGATTTACTTTTAAATTTTCTTCCCCTCAAAATTTCAGCAAAATCTATGATAACAGAAGCCCAAGGACGTTGCTGTTGGTGAACCCCACAGACCAGTACATAAAAGCATGGGGCGAAAATGAGATTCCCTATTTCTGCCTGTGAAAATTGAGGGACTGAATAAGAATCGTGCTATTTCTCTATAACTGTATTCGTTAGAGGCAGCTTTTCCAGTGAAAAAGATATGTTTCTCTTAAAAGCTAGAAAACGGCATGCAAATTTTTGTTCGTTTAGAACTCGGTGTTCTGGAGAACACCAGTGGTCAGTACTTTTGGTTGGAGTGATTTGAGACCGTATTTCCAAAATGAATTTTAGATATACATTTGGTGTTTTTATCTTGTCAAAGATAGTTTCAAAATTTGATTCAAGTTATGTTTTAATAGGTTTCTAGATTACTGGAGATGAGAAAAATATACCGAGTTTTGAAAGGTTTTGATAAGCCTCTCATACCTGTTAGGTACTTTTCAAAATAAATATTAATTTCGAAAAAAAAAAAAGAAACTTACACGTTTTGCTGCCGTAATATCATTGACCACCAGAGGGCAGCATTGCCTAGGGATGGTCAAATCCTTGCATCTAATGGTTTTAAGTACAGTAACATTTATGTTCCCCCATGTATGTCTTTATTCTTAGGTGAGAATATGACATAGAATAGTATTAGAATGCAAAATACTATTAGAACATAATACATTAGAATATAATAGAAAATTCATTAAATTAGAAAGGATCGGTTCGTTTTTGAAGTTTTTTTATTACTATTTCAGAATGGTGTGGGGGTACAAACGTTTTGGTTACGTAAATTGCTTTTGTGCCGTTTGAGTCAACGTTGTAAGAGTGCCCATCCCCCAGATAGTGTGCGTCGTACCTGTTAGGTGTGAATTTACACATCCCCCTTCCCCTCCCACCTGCTTGATATCTGATGAATGTTATTTCCACGTTTGCACATAATTGTTGATCAATTAGTACCAATTTGATGGTGAGTACATGTGGTGCTTGTTTTTCCATTCTTGGGATGCTTCACTTAGTAGAATGGGCTCCAGCTGTATCCGGGATAATACAAGAGGTATTAGATTACCTCTGTTTTTTCTGGGTAATAATCCATGGTGTACATATACCACATTTTATTAATCCACTCATGGATTCATGGGCACTTGGGTTGTTTCCACATCTTTGCAATTTTGGGTTGTGCTGCTATGAACATTCGAGTGCAGGTGCATGGTTGTTTTCAAAGTTTTTATTCTGTTTTCATAATAAAACACTGTGGCCCCAAGGAAAAAAAAGTTTTTTCCTTGTGTGTGGCAGTCAGTGTGTTAAATAATAACACTCCTGACAAAGTTGATGTGGATTTTTAAGATCGAAATCTTGAGGCTGCATTCATGCCGGCTGCCCTTCCAAGTATGGCTGTCACCAGAGACAACTTTAAGTTGCTTGCAGTGCCAAGTCCCATAGAATGAGCCCTCATTTCCCACTTGCTAGGAGTTGGAAGCCGTTCACGCACTTGGAGAGGGAAGCTTGAGGATTTCAGGGGGCAGTGCCCTCTGATACACGCCGGCTCTGCTTTTTCCTCCAGGCGAGATGAGTTAGTATTCACTTATTGTTATTTTTTCCGCTTATTACGTACCTTTCCCGTGATACTGTCATGTAGCTTCTGCTTTCCGAGAGCACTTTAATATTTTCCGTAAATGGTTTTAGGTATGTATGACACATCTCCTCCTCGAGTTCAGTGTTCCATTCCCGAATTGGTCCGTTTCCCCGATGAAATCAGACAGCTGAATGCATTCAGACGGGGCCGCCTCCCAAACCCAGAGAGAAAGGAATGTGACTCCCCCAGCTACTGGTGCAGAAAGTGCCAGCAGGTGAGGAAGGGAGGATCGCGGATTGTTCACGCCCAAAGCTTCTTGCTAGGGGAGGATTGGATGGACGTCTCTATGCAGACTTTAGCTTTTGCGTCTGGCCTAGGTGGTTTTTCAACATACAGGAGCTCGCACCTCCGGACCCAGCAGCTCAGAGAGATACGGCTGTTCGGAGACCCAGCTGCGTGCCAAACTGTAAAACGAAGGAACCGAAATGTTCCTTAAGAGTAAAAGGCTGTTAGTGCCATATTGCGTCTTGCATTCAGCTAAGTTAGTACAAGACCTTCAGTTTCCCCTTAAGCTTCCTTTTCTGTCAACTTTCACATTGATTCTGACTTTTCTATGTCACGTTTCTGTTGTTTGTTTTTCTGTAAACTGTTCTACTCTCACTTCTCTGCGATATGTGTGGAGAGTTAATGTGTATTGTCTGCGTAGGAGTGTCTGGGGCTGAGGTGACCACAAACTGCGGCCTGGAAACAACAGGATTGTGTCCCCTCCCGGCCCCGGAGCCCAGGAGTCTGAGACGCAGGTGTCTCGGGGCCACGCTACCTCCGCAGGCTCCAGGGCAGGCTCCTTCCTGCCTCTTCCGGCTCCTGGGAGCTCCAGGCGTCCCTGGGCTTGTGGCCAAGTCACTCCAGTCTCTGCCTTCGTCTCCACGTGGCTTCTGCTCTGCGTCTGTGTCTCCTCTGCTGTCCTTAGGAGGACACCGTCATTGGGTTTAGGGTCCACCCTAATAGAGAATGACCTTATCTTAACTAATTACATCTGCAAAAACCCTACTTCCAAATTAGATCCCACTAACAGGTTGTTGGGGTAAGAACATAGATGTGGGACACCTTCATTCTACCCAATATACGGTGTTTCTTTAAAATAAAAAAACTCAGAAAATTATTTGGAATCAACGAGAGAATTATCTTTTCTCATTGAAATGTGTGGTCATGATTCAAGAAGTCATTTGAAAACTTTGTTTTAGAAGATATCTGCATTGCTGGTATCCCTGAATTAGAATATCTAGTTCAAAAGAGCTGAGTGGAAAATACATTTGTGAGTCAAGTGTCTTTGCCTTGGGCAATGTGAGAAAATACCAGAAGTCTAACTTGCACCCAAGAGCATGCGGGGATCCGATGTATATTTATTTGACTGGGAGAGTTTCTTGGATTTATCTTGGTCTTTGCAGTTTTCAGTATATTTCTTCTTTAGATTATTTCAGAGTTTTACAAATATTTCCAGATATTCGTAGAGGTAAGTCTGTGGTTTTCTACACCAAGACTACAACCTTAACTATAATATCAGCAACACGGTATAGTGTGAATGTCTTGCTTTTAAATACTTGCTGCTACATTCAAGGCTGTGCATTCATGCATTCCCATCTTCT